GAAGGTAACTACAGCAGAACCACTGCATACACTACTCGATAAAAAAGCCACGTGGAATGGGGCCAACGAGAAGCCGCATTCCAAAGAATTAAAGACTTAATAACGTCCAAATCAGTATTAATCCAATACAGCGACACGCTGCCACTGTCACCTGCGACACATCACCTTTTGGCGTAGGCGCAATACTTAGCCACAGACTACCTGATGGCAGAGAAGCACCGATCGCCTTTTACTCCAAGACGCTGTCAAAAGCCGAAAGGAACTACAGCCAACTGGACAGAGAAACCTTGGCCACTATCTCGGGTGTAAAACGTTTTCACGAATACCTTTATGGTAGGACATTTTCCTTAATTACTGACCACAAGCCACTGCTAGGAATCCTGGCAGGAGACAGAGCCACCCTCAACATCCTATCCCCAAGAATGACATGATGGTCGGAATTTCTGGCAGCCTACAACTACAAGCTCGTCTATCGACCAGGAAAAGCCATACCCCACGCCGACGCACTGAGCCGCTCACCTCTACCAGACCACAATGACAACCCAGCTCCCACCACATGCACCCTGCAAATTGAAACAATATCGAACCTGCACATCACCGCATCGGACATCGCAAGGGAAACCGCCAAAGATGCACTAATGGCCCGAATCCTGAATTGGGTGGGGAGAGGCTGGCCATAAAACGACAAAAATGAGACTTTTAAATCGTTCAGAACCCAGCAAACTGAGCTGTCAATTGAAAAAGGATGTATATTGTGGGGGGATAGGGTTGTTGTTCCAAGAAAATTACAGGAAGACGTGCTGGACATGTTACATGAAGGACACCTGGGCATGGTAAAAATGAAGTCCCTGGCCAGAAGCTACGTCTGGTGGCCAAGAATAGACAAAGACATTGAAACATGGGTAAAAACATGTAATAAATGACAGACGTCCAGACCTACTCCCCTCTTTAGCACCGGTCCTTGACTGGGAGACATCCAGAGGCCCCTGGTCAAGGATCCACATAGACTTCGCCGGACCCACAAAGGGATATACATTCTTAATCAACATCGATGCCTACTCGAACTGGTTGGAGTTCAGCATCATGAGTTCAACAACGACTGACGCCGTCACTAAACAACTAAAGAAACTTTTTGTGACTCACGGATTACCAGATGTGTTAGTCTCAGACAATGGCCCACAGTTCACAGCTTTAGCTTTTGAACAATTCCTCGCAGAACAAGGCATACGACATGCCCTGACAGCGCCAGCTCACCCGGCGTCAAACAGACGGGTGGAACACATGGTTCGATACACGAAAGAAGCATTAGAAAAAATTGAAGGGGGTGACATGCAAGACAAAATAAATACAATGCTCACAATTCAACATATAACGCCGTGCACATCAAACAAGAGTCCAGCTGAACTTTTAATGGGCAGAAAATTGCGAACATATTTGGACAGACTACACCCCACCTACAACCCCGAGAAGCCACCAGACTCCTCCAGAAAGTACCGCACGTTTATACCAGGAGACCTGGTATACGCGAAAAATCTTACTGGCGACCCATTGTGGTTACCGGCCACGATAACGCAAATAACAGGCCCTCGGTCGTACCGATTGGAAACAACAGACGGCAGAACCTGGAAAAGGCACATAGACCAACTACGGTCTCGAAACCTCGAACCCAACACCGATATACCCTGAAACATAGAGCAAACCCATACACAACAGCCAATAAGTAATAATAAAACCAGAGGGGGGGGGGGACCCTTAAATAATAAAGAAAGGGAAAACCCTCCTTTAACACGATTAAAAACAGGCCACCAACCAGCAACAGAAAGCCCAAGAACAAATAAAAACTACTTACCAACAGGCAAGTTCAAAAGAAGGAAGCTGGAGGAGAACCAGGGAAGAAGCAGCCGAACCGACTCTACCTGCCCGGGTAAGCCAGAAGGGAGCGGCAAAGCCCACTCAACCAACCTAACAAGGCCCGGCGGGAGTGGCATGGCTGACTCACCCTTCCAGGAGGTTCTGGAGAGAAGGACAGGAGAGACATCGATCCCGTCCGAACCGATTGAAGGCAACACAGAGACTGAGTTGCGCAGGTCAACCAGGACCCACAAAAGCCCCGCCTATTTGCGTGACTACATCACGTAAAGTTGGACTGTACCAAGAGGGGAGGGGTGTTGTGTATATAGACATTTGCATACTCGTAACACTACGTTCTGATTGGACAACCACTACCGCCTAGTGATTGGTGGTTAACAATGTATTATGATTGGCTGCCTAAACGGCGGGAGGTTTAAAATGATGCCATTGGTTGCGAGCCGCGAGCAGCCGCTATAAAAGAGGCTGCCGCGACTCGAGTTTAGTTGAATTTACTGACTGTAAATAAAGAGCTGATTTCAACTCCAGTCTCCAGTCTACTTTGTTCTGGCGATAGAACAATTTATATGCTGCTTTCAGAATTATGCAAAGGTGTTTGCCCATTTAACCTACATTATACATTGGACAAAATGCTCACAATGGGAAAAATGATTTACTAAGCTCTTGAGATTTTCAAGGAAGCATCCTGTAACATTTTCTAACACAAACCTACACTCTGTTGGTACACATTATCCTCAGTCAACCACCACAGAGCCTTGGTCCCAACAAATCCATCAATAACTTTTAAAGCACCCATTCCACTTCATAATTCTTTCTGCCATTGCCTGATCAGCCAAGCAAGACTGGATCTAGGAGTTGCCATTTTAATTTTCCACAACAGTATTTCAGGACGCAATGGAAAATGAAGCCGGTAACTTCCATATTTAACAACCACTAGTAGAAGAGGCCTTTAGGGAATTCCATGTATACATGTGCACATTCAATGAGCAAACTATATGCTGCTGGTGTTGGTTGTGGAGAAAAATAGGTCTTCCACTGCACTTAGATTTAGCCATGTACTTAATTTTATAAAAATTGCTCCACTTGTTTGCAAACAACTTCTGAAACATGGAGTTAGCACTACCAGAAGAAAAAGAGGGAACAACCTGTTTTTCACATTTTTTGGATGAGTCTGTTTACTTCTGGCCAACATTCTGCAAACACCAGCTGCCCCGTAATTTCTTTATATTGTTTGTAGTCTATGCTAATTCTAGGACCCTGGGCAACTTACAACACGCCATATTATTTTCATGATATAATATGTATCTATATATATAAAAGCGAAATACCAGTCATGCATCATCACAAAATCTCCAGAACCGTAAAGTCTACAAACTTGAAATTTGGCACATATGTTCCTCTTGGCTTCTAGGTGCTCACTAAAAAAGGATTTTTCAAAATGACCATCAGAGCATTAGTACTTCGTATATTATTATTAACATGCTCTCATGCTAAGGAGTTCTACTCCCCCTCCCCATCTTAAAAGAAATCTGTTCCAATTGAAAAACACAAGCAGAGGAGTTTCAGTTTCAGTTTCACAGCAGCAACCAGCTTTACTACAGAACAATTGAGCTAAGCCACGCCCAGGCTCCTTGTTGTCCCCTTCTTGCTCACACAGCAAATACTGCTTCAGTTTCCAAAAAACCTTCAACTCTCTTAAATACTGGTAGGACGCTAGCCAGATGAATACTGATGGATGCTGATAGGCAGAGGCACAATTCCCCCCCTTATTTTCCTCCCCCAAAACTAAGCCCTATCACATAGTTTCCTAACGAAGCACTGGTATAGAGCTAGTACGTATATGTGTGTGCATATGTGTGTGTGTGAGATATGTATACATACACACATATACATGATGTATAAAATATACTATAAAGGCATAATAAATTAAACAGACTAATATAAAACACCTCACCACTACTTTTCCAAAGTCCATTTGGAATCAAATGATTTTCATAGTCTGATCAGAAGGAAGCTGTATTAAGATCACCAGGTCTTCCTCCTGAAATAGTACATATAAGGTTGTAGTTTAATTTATTTGATTTATATTCAGTCTTCCTTTTACATTTTGTCAACTACTGTAGTTAGTCTCAGTGAGCAGTTGGGTAGAAGGTTGTCCCTAGTTGTTCTAGACCAGTGTTTCTCATACTTTGCTCTCAGGACTGCTTCCCATGTTTAAAAATTATGGAGAATTCCAGAAGAGCTTTTATCTGTATGGGTTATATTTATCTATGTTTAGCATATTAACAATTCAATTGGTGCATGTGTGAAACACTGAATCCCATTAAAATAGCAATATTAAACCCCTTAGAATAGATAACACAAATAAAAAAATATTCATGAAAAAGTCCTAAAAACAAGGAAAAATAAGTGATATTGTTCTAAATTTTTGCAGATTTCAATATTTGGCAAGTCGTTTTGGTTTTGTGGACACCCCCCCCCCCCCCCCGCAGGGTATCTTGGGAGATCCTCAGATGACAATAGTCTGGCCTATAGAAAAGCATCCTGGAAGGAGGCAGTAACAAGCCATCTTCGTCGAGAAACCAACAGGGACCTCCCCACGTGTTAGTGATTTTAATGTTTCGATAAGCAATGGATGCAAGTGAGGCCACGGTAACTCTCGTCCCTCCGCCGCCATCCCTCGGTTGGCGTTAGCAGTCTCAAACCTCTGCACTTTATATAATGCTCTTTTCCCGTTCACTTGCAAGTTCTATCTCAGGATTTGAAGCGGAAATAAAAGAGGTGCATATCCCCTGAAAAACTTTTAAACCGGACCACAACTGTTTATAGCAGGGGGTCTTCAAGCTTGGCAAGTTTAAGACTTGTGGACTTCAACTCCCAGAATTCCTCTTCCAGTCATGTTAGCTCAGGAATTCTGGGAGTTGAAGTCCACAAGTCTTAAAGTTGCCAAGTTTGAAGACCCATGGGTTTATATAGCAAAGAGAATCACCAACAATTCCTCCCCTTATTTCGCCGTTCCTTTCCGTAACTGCTGCTCGAAAAGCTAGAAGGCGGGGTGATGGAGACGCGATTTGTGACGGACATCGCTTCCGACCAATGGAAAGTTTGGAAAGGAGCGCGTTGAGCCAATGGGACCGAGCAATTTGGAAATGGTGTCAGGTGCCAAGGGATCCAGGAAGTGATAGTTGGAGCAGTTCAGAGAGTGCTGCTGCTGGGAGAGCCGCTGAAGGTAGTTAACTCTTCTTTGGATGGGATTGTTTGTTTGGGGTTTGTCTTCTTTTCTGAAGGAAAATGGGTGTTGTTTCCCTTCTGGGTGTGGACTTAAGGAACGGCACATTTAGCCATGGCTAGTTTAAACCACCTTTTATTTAAGCTACTTTGCTGGGTTCTCAAGACGTAGAACCATAAACTAATTGCATGATGCATGGATTCACTTTGCACCTCTTGAGCACCCAGGAAGCGGCTTAAATAAAAAGGTGGTTGAGACTGAAGTGAGTTGGTGGTTGTTCACCTGGTGTGATTTTACCACCACGTAAATATAACTGGGAACGGGTCTTGCACACTTAAATGGAAATGCAGTTTTCAAGACATCCTTGCTGAGGCAAAAACCTACCTCAAAATTCATTTGCTGATCGGGTTAGATTTACCCAATTTTTATCTCTAAATTACAGTAATGGGATTGCCACGCCCCAAAAATGAAGTGTTGGCAGCCCAACACCTTTTTAGAAAGTAAAATTGGAGTCTTAGAGCTGTGTTTTTCAAACTTGGCAATGTTAATCTGTGTGGACTTCAGTTTCCAAAATTCCCCAGCAAAAGCATGCTGGTTGAGGAATTCTTGGAAGGTCCACACATCTTTAAGTTACCAAGGTTGAATAACACAGATTTAAAGCTATGACCCATCTTTAAACTAAGAAATACAATCAGGTTATTAGTCATAAGGACACCAATATATCACAGCATTTAACTAATAATCCTGGCGATGAGCCTTTTGTAATCCATGCAGATGTGTGAGACTTGGAGTTACTGTAGTTTCATTCTAAAAGTGAGATCTTTAGCTGATGGATGCTAGTTCATTTAATTTCCCTTAGAGCAGAGTTGAACTCTGGCCCCTTTATGACTTGTGGACTTCAATTCCCAGAATTCCTGAGCCAGTCATAAAAGGGCCTCTATCCCCATCCCTCCCTTGGAGTACTATGGATTCTTAAAGAGGCCTGTACTAATATCCCAGATGTAACATAGAAGCAGACTCATTCTTGAGTTTATATAACCAAAATGATGTGAAGGAGGAAGAATCTTGGAGAAACCTAAAAGCATTCCCACCTTGCTGAGCATGTTCAGCAAATGCAGGATGCTGGCTGACAGTTGGGGGCTGGTGAAAATTGAAAGGATGGCATGGAATAGCCTAGGAGTGGGTGGGCACAGCTGGCTGAGCTTTAGCAGGCATACATTTTCACGTGTTGTTTTTAGTTCCACTTGCTGTTTAATGTCAACAGTGCAAGTACAGCCTGTGTAAAAGAGTATAGGGGGCCTGTGTTGGGCAAATAAGAGCAAGATATGAGAGAGTGGAAAAAGTAAAGGAGATATTAAAATTACACAATGAAGGATGTGGGTTCGCAGAATAATAGATTGGAAGAGGCCATAAAGTGCTAGAATTCCAATTAAAGCACCCCTACCAAAGCTGTATAATCTCTGTTCTTCCAACGAAGGACTTAAACCCACTGTCTAACTGTTCTTATTGGTAGAGTTTATTTTTCTCATGACATTCAACCAAAATCTACCTGTAGCTTAATACAATTATTTATGACCCTGTATTCTGGACCCATGGAGAATAAATATTACCTTCTTCTATGAAATATTTTCAGATATTCGGTGCTATTTTATTCCTTTTCCCTTCATTGGCTTTACTTTCCAATCTTCTAATTATCCTTGTTTCCCTTGTCCGAGCTTGTCTTCTTGTCTGCATCTTCCTTAAAGTGTAAAACTGGTAGTGTACAGATACTCCAGGTGGGATCTGACCAATCAAAATAATTATTTTTTGTAATTTGGAACCTATATTTTTGTGGATGCAGCCTGAAACTGCATTTGCCTTTTTTTTTTCCTAGCCACACAGTAGTTGACTTACATTGAGTTGCCAAACAATCACTATTCCAAGATTATATATAGCCCTCAGCTGTGGACATTATGGCAAAAAGTTTCCTCAGATCTCATAAAATGGAGTTGTTTTTTCTACATCAAATAATTAGTCCAAACACTTGGGTAGATTATAGAAATTGAGACAATGATACTAATTACAATAACAGTCATTTGTGTTGGAAAAAGTTCTGATTCAACTTTTTTTTTAAAAAAAATCCCACATTTCTATCTGATCAACTGAGAGGGAAGGAAGAAGTACAGAACTGTAGGCTCATTAGTTTAATTATATAGTCTTTGTACTGATTGCCAGGTGACTTCCTTTATGATCTAAGTTTCAAGAGCTCTTTCTGCTACAAGTTTTAGACAGGGCTCTCTAAACTTGGCAATGGAATGCTGGCAGGGGAATTGTGGGAGTTAAAGTCCACAAGTCTTAAAGTTGCCAAGTTTAGCCACCCTTGCTCTAAACAAGAGTTCCCCAACCCCGGGCAGTGCAAACAAGCAAAGCCCCTGCATCTGTGGGATGCAGGCAGCATGCGAAACCCCCGCCCCCACTGGTCCATGGGAAAAACCTCTCTCCATGGAACCAGTCCCTGGTGCCCCAAAGGTTGGGGACCGCTGCTCTAGACTATAAGCCTAGTGTTCAGTTGAGTCTGGTTCCTCCCTGTTACAGACAGGAAGGAGCTTAAAACACACGTTTTTACAACAACCCTTAAGAGAATTTACAAAAACATACTGCTAGTTTGTAATTAGGATTATGATATCTAGGCTGCAAAAATCCAGTTGATCACTGGACAGCAGCATTCCATCTGAATTTTTTTTCAGCTTTCTTTCTTTAATTACATTCAGGTAGACCTTGATTTACAACCATTCGTTTACTGACCCATTTGAACAACAGCACTGAAAAAAGTGGCTTATGACCAGTTTTCACATTTAAAGACTGTTGTAGCATCCCCATGGTCACGTGATCAACACATGGGCACTTAACAACTGGCATGTATTTATGACAGTTGCGTTGTCCCAAGGTCATGTGATCACCATTTTTAAGCTTCCTATCTGGCTTCCAACAAGCAGAGTCAATGGGGGGAGTTAGATTTGCTTAACAGCCACATGATTCACTGAACAACTGCAATGATTTGCTTAACAACGGTGGCAAAAAGATTTAAAATGAGGCGACTCAACTCAACTGAGAAATTTCAGGCTCAGTTGTGGTCATAAGTTGAGGAAATGTTGGTGGGTACTTAAAACTGCAAAGTGGGAGTTGGTCTATCTCTGGCTATTTGAAGAACTTTCTTTCCCCTATTGTTCCAGTAACATCTGACAGAGTAGGCATATTTGTTTATTATTAATCAAGTTTTTATGGCTGCCCATCTCATGGAAATGGACTCTGGGCAGCATTTATCTCACAAGATAAATATAAAACAATGATTACCTAAAATCGTTACAGTTAGTTATTAAGAAACATTAACAACTACAAAAGTAGAAGTAAACAAGAAAAGGAAAATAATAGTTGGAAGGATATCACTAATGGGCCATCTCACAAGTTCGCTCATCCCTGGGGTTCTCAGATCCCATCCTTAAAACAGCATCATCTGATGGAATCCCGGCAATCACTCTTCTCTGTCATGGGCCTTATCCCCAACCCTCTTATCCTTTGAGCCTTGAAGATCTGGGCCTTTCCTCAGTGTTGGATTAGGAAATACTTGTAGATGCTGCTAGGCTTTTTTTTTTATTAGTTTGCTACTCCCCAAGTTTTTGCTTTCTTACGGTTTTTGCTATATTGAGTTTGACAAAGTAGATCGCAGCCTACTTCTTGGTAAGAAGATATAGACAATGTCACCACCAGATGGATTCGCAATTGACCGACCAACCGTAGTCAATGTGTAGTCCACGAAGGAACTACATCTACATGAAGGGAAACACGGAGAGGAGAACCTCAAAGTTTAGTCTTGGATCCAGTGCTCTTCAACATCTGCATGAGGGGATGGAAGGAGAACTCATTAAATGTGTAGGTGGGAAATACCCATCATTTTAGAACAGGAGTGTCAAACTCAATTTCATTGAGGGCCACATCAGGGCTGCGGTTGACCTCAGAGGGTCCATGGCTGACTAGGTGGGCATGGCAAGCTTGACGCCACACCCCAAACTGCTGCCATGTTTCCTCTTTGCATTAAGTACACCGGGCTAAAGCCGCGCTGGCCCGATGTTTTCTCCTCACATTGAGTACCTGGGCCAAAGCGACGTGGGTAGACCAGGCCGAAGCAATGCAGGCCAGCCCCTTACATTTTCCAGGATGGCCCTGCAGGCCAGATCTGACCACATCGCAGGCTGAACCCAGCCCGCAGGCCTTGAGTTTGACACCCCTGATTTAGAAGATGGGCTCAACATCCAGAAGGGTCTTTTCAGACTTGACATTGGTCCCTCTCCAACAAGATAAGTTCAATGGTGAGAAAAGTTAAAAAAAAACCCTGCACTTAGACAGGGAAAGGCAAATGCATAGGTACAGTACATTTTAAATGGTACCTGGCTCAACAATAGTAACTGTGAGAGGGATGTATGAGTCCTAGTGGACTATTACATAAGTATTAACCAGCAGTGTGCTGTAGCTGTCAAAAAAAAAAAGCCAGTGCGGTCCTAGAATACAACAACAAAGGAATAGCATCAAGACAAGGAGTGATAATACTGCTTTACATCATGCTAGTGAGACCACACTTGGAACACTGCAACCAGTTCTTGTCATCACGATGCAAAAAAGATGTTGAGAATCTGGAAAGTGTGTATAGAAAAGCAACAAAGATGATAAAGGATCTGGATATGACATGGTTGAGATAGGTGTCTAGCCTATCGAAAGAAGGATTGGGTGAAATATAATAGTTGTCTTCTAATACTTGAGGGGCTTTCACGAAGTGGGGATTGATTTACTCTCTAGGGTACCAAAGGGCAGAACAAGAAATAATGGGTGGAAGCTTGTCAAAAAGAGATCCAACCTAGAAGTAAAGAGAAATTTTCTGACAATGAGAGCAATTAATCTGTGGAATAGCGCATCTCCTGGGTTTGTGGGTGCTCCATCACTGTAGGTGTTCAAAATTATTTTGGACAACCATTTGACTGGGATGATATAAGACTCCTGCCTTGAGCAGGGGGTGGACTAGAAGACCTCCATCTTCCCACCCCTATGATTCTATGTTTTTTATGAATATTGATTTATTTGTATGCCGTTGAGAGTTGTGATGAAAATTTAAATGTGATTAATAAACATTTCAGATACAAATCATACCTAAAAACGTACAGTGTCTGAGACAAAGCCTTCAGTTCAGAACACATAGGAGCTAGTTTGTGTGCTAGGCATTTCCCTTGTTAACATCCTGCCTTAAGCAAGCCTATCCTTTCTTTCTGTCAACATACTTTAATAATGGCAGAAGAGCGGTTGAGATGATGTAGAAAAAGCTCTCTTTTTTTTTCAGCACTATAAGACTTACTGCTTCCTTAGCTGCAAATAATTGACCTGCAACATTTGGGGGTTTGTGCACTTAGTCCTTTAGAGCAGGGGTCGCCAACCTTTTGGACCTCAGGGACAACCAAACTCATTTTAAATCCCGGGGACCACTAATGTGAATTTTGACTGACGTGGCTTGCTGACATTGGTGGGAGGGAGAAGAAGAGAGAGAAAGAGAAATCTGATCTAACCTCGGAGGGCTGGTGATTCATATTCATTCTCTCTCTCTCTCCCTCCCTCTCTCTCTCTCTCTCTCTCTCTCTCTCTCTCTCTCTCTCACACACACACACACACACACGCACGCACACAGAGATCCCTCACACACACACACACCTTCTCCAAGGCAACCCTATTCCTAGCCTGCTTTGAGCTCCGTTCTCAGGCTGCACGCAAGGAAAGCAGCAGAACTCTTTCTTTCTCTCCCCCCAAACTCCCTCAGAAATGAGTCTTCACCAGTGTGGCCTCTTGGAGCAGAATGCCTTGCAGCAGAGGTGGTATTCAGCAGGTTCTGACCAGTTCTGGAGAACCAGTAGCGGAAATTTTGAGTAGTTCGGAGAACCGGCAAACACTACCTCTGACTGGAGATTTTACAGTATTCTTCCCCTGCCACTCCCACCAAGCCATGCCCACAGAACCGGTAGTGAAAGAAATTGAATCCCACCACTGCCTTGCAGGGTCCCAAAGACTCATTTCTGGCAGAGTTTGGGGGAGAGAAAGAAAGACTTTTGCTGCTTTCCTTGCGTGCAGCCAAAAGCAGAAGAAGAAAGAAGCGGAAGAAACAACCCGGTGGCCAGTCAAGTTCCCCACGCCCACCCTTTCCCCACTCCCCTCACTACCTTGTGTTGTTCCTAATGCAAGTGACGGAAGCCTTGTGTTCCCGCGGGCCATGTGGGCGGTGCAGCCTTGTTTTCCCCGCAGCCTGGATTAATTGCTTTTGGGGAGGTGCTTTGAGGTGGCATTTCTCTGCGGACCACCAAACTATTCTCGTGGATCACCAGTGGGCCGTGGTTGGCGACCACTGCTTTAGAGCCCAAATGCCTACAATAGCAGCCGTGCAAATGTTCATAGAGAAAAAAATGTATACATTCACAATGACCATTTCAGGGTTGATAGTGTATTTCAGTGCAGAAATTGTCAGTGAGGGAATCATCCTGCCTGTGAGGGTGAGGATTTGTTCGAATAGCATTTGCAGTCGGAGCCTGCATAAGAAGCCAATTGTAATGGAGAATCTAAATTTACAGTATTTGGCAGGAAAATTGTTAACCTCTTTGGATTCAGTAAATGAAAAAGAGTGGGCCTTTTTATCCTGCTTTAGTCTAATGCAGAGTAATTTATGTAGCTTTCTTGGCCAGGTTTCAGTCATGTACTCTTTTAGTCTAATTGCAATAACAAAATTGATTTGCTTTGATGGAGATGTATTGGTCGATGCGTGTTCCCATCATTTGGCCTTGGAACATTACAACCTTAAAACCAGAGGATGCTAATTCTATTTGGTCCTTTTTAAATGTTTTTTTTTCGGGGTATACATGAACGCGATTAGAAACGAAAATCTGTAATACTTATTCTGGAATTGTAAGGACATTGTTAAAAGAAAGTAGCATTTTGTATTTAAATCATTTCAGGAATACCTTAAGGCCTTCATGGCCAAAAGGAATTCTAAACATCGAAATAATGTATTTCTTGCCCTGAATGTTTAATCTCATTTAGATAACACACCAAAGATAGGATTTCTAAAATGCTGTTTTTAAAAAAAAAAAAAGAGAGAGAGAAAGAAAACAAAAGTCTGTAGATACGCTAATGGCGGACATAAGAAATAATGTTTCATGGCCCCTTGAGATGTGGGTAAAAAAAACCCCAAAAGGTAATGGATCCTGCTGAGGGAAAGATACGGTATAATGTTTTTAGGAAGAAAAAAATGGTAACAAATGTAGTCAAAGAATAAAATGAATAGACTTTATTTAAATTATGGAACATACAAAACAGTTGAAAATGGAATATGGATTAGAAAATAACAGGGTCTGACTGAAAATGGAGTGAATAATTGGAAGTTAACATAATTGGCAAACCCTAGAGCAAGTGGGAAGATTTTTATATCTTGGTGGAAACTTGCCAAAGATGGGGAGATGACAAGCACCATCAATGGGGGAGGCTGGATCTGCTTAACAACCACATAATTCATTTAACAACTGCAGCAATTCGCTTAACAAACATGGTTTAAAAAGATCATAAATTGGGCACGACTCAAAGCCGCCTTACTTAACAACAGAAATTCTGATCCTAATTGTGGTTGTAAGTGTGATTGTGTATGAAGGAAGTATGAAAACTGAGAAAGTTATGGCTGAAGGAGACCCCGAAAAGTTTAAAGAGCAAAAGGCAATGTGGTGCATGGACTTAGTGGAAGCAAAGATGATTCAAGGATAGAAAAGGAGAAAAGGCTATGTAGGAGGTTAGCACCCACCCCTCTCCTAGAAAAATGAAATATCCTAGGAAATATTAAAAAGGCAGAATATTTTCCCTAAAAAGAGTAGAAACTTAGAAGCAGAAACTCACCTCAGAATCAGAAACTCAGCCCCCTCCCCTTTGCTAATGGGCCATTACCAGAGGTGGGATTCAACCGGTGTTACTACTGGTTTGATGACTATGTTTTGCGCATGCATGCATGCTTCATGTACAAAAACCTTAAGCTGTGCCACCCGGACAGCTGAAAAGCGCTGCGTGCAGGTGCACAGTGTTTGAAAAGCCTCTTTTTTTCCTGCTTTTTCAACCCCAGTTGTGCCATGCAAAGCAGCTGAGGTTGAAAAAGCAGAAAATAAAGGACAGGTAAGAGCCCAGGTGGGCGGGTGGGCCAAACAGCAGCGAACACAGAACTGGTTTGGTGTCTGCTGCTCTTCAGAGCTACTGGTTCTATAGAGCCGGGCAGAACCAGTAGCATCCTACCCCGGCCATTACTCTGGCCTAGGCCAGCCTATTTTACATAACAAAGTTCTCCAGATAGAGCTATTGGAATTGCCCAAAGCTCCTTCATGACATCATCACCCAGTAGGGCTCAACCAAGCCTGAGACTCAGGACAGCCTAGAGAGTTGCCCCTGCGTGGCCCCATGGGAGTCTGACAACCAATCAGAATACAAGCTCAAATTCAAATCCCAACAGAGGGTATAAAACCCAGGCACTCTCAGCATATCAGTCGTTTTCCTTCAGGTCATGTGATCCTGTTCATCATTAAACCTTCCAAACAGCCTCCATGTTTCCAGTGTCTTTTCCCCTACTTGGAACTGAACCAGAAGGATAATTCTTCCGACAGCTATATAATGAATGGTGTCTGTAAAACCATGTTTAGATTGCTGTTTTTTGTTATCGACTGTCTATTTTGATCACTACAACTTGATATTTTTCTGCATTTTGCATAGGATGATTTATCTCAAAAGGGCATAAAAAACACGAGTAGTTTCTCAAAATTCAAAATGTTTCTTTTTTTATATAATTCTTCAAACCTACGGTATAAAACATGAATATTAGAAAACTTCATCTCATTTTTTAAAAACTGCTTTCTTGTGTTTGGATGCATTTTCTAGCCTGCTGTGAAGGATATTGTTTAAATCGGTATGAGTAAGAACTACAAATACAAAAATAAAAAATGAAAAAATACGTCAAGAATCCTAAAATTCACACTGTGCTGTTTTCCCAAAGTACTCCTTGCTGAATTTATACCTCATGTTTTTGTATTGGGGGCAGCGGGGATGGTTGGGAGAAGGTTCTTAATGAGATGTGTGAAATCAACCATGTTTGTTTATAACTCATGATTTATCATTTGGCTTTATAAATGAAACAGGCCACTATAATTTGTTCCAAACCATGATGAAAACAAATGATGTATATCTAAATTACGTAGATATACACCCGCCATGTGCAACCTGACCATGGATTGAATGGAAAAGGGCTGCATTGCATCTTTCACTATGGCTGGTTTGTTCAGTCTTGATGGCCTTCTAATTTGACATTGTTGGTCTGACTTGTTGTGTCTTCTCCTCTCAATTGGCAGGTTGTTCTCTTGTGAAGGACCATGTGGAATCCCAATGCAGGTAAAAAGGCAAGGAGATTTAATGGGATTTGCAAGGATACTTCTCTAAAAGCACCAACTGAGTACAGTGTGTCATTGCTTATTAAATCTCTCTGGGCAAGTAGTTGGCCTCTTGTGACTGGAGGCTTTAATGGAGACCAACATTTGGCAGCTACCCATAAAGGTTTGGAATGCAGGATCCTTCCTGAATTAATACATTTGTGGCCATGGTCTGTCTCTCCCTCCCTCCCTCCCTCCCTCTCTTTCTCAACCCTTCCCCCCTCCACAATACCTTTAGTGCCAATTTGTTGATGTCTTCTCCTACATTATCATTGTAACAGCATTAGCACACTGGTGGCAAAAGTCTTGCAGATTTCCTGTGGAAAGGAAATCTGTCCAGAAGCAAATCGTACATATTTATGGCCGGTTGCAATTAACTTCAGCCAGCCCACTTCCTGCAGCTGAATTAGGCTGTCTCCAGTAATCTGTGGAAGAACTTCCTGTGTGTTTTCCTTACTGCTGCCTGCCAGATATGCTTCACCGTTGGCTCATTCGGATTTTTCCCTTTTAAGAGACATGCTTAAGGTTGAAACGCACAAACACGGAGGAATCCTTTGTCATGGTCTCCCAGACGTTCACCCCGAATTTGCCCTAAGAGATGGAACCTAAGATAATTTCATTTGCTAACGGGGGCTTGCTTTCAGATTCGGTTACCTTTGGGATAAATTCTATTTACCAAAAAAATAAAAATAAAATCCCACCCAAGCCAAAGCATCTTTATGATGTTGCTTAAAGAGCAAAAGCATTGGCGATTGCCATTGGGTGAGAAGCTGCTGGATTGAGAGGTTTTATGTGGTTATCACTGAGCACACTATAAAATGGTGGGAAAATAGGAGCTGGTGCTATTTACATCCATCATGAGTTGAGGATGATAACTATCCTTTCCCAGTCTGATCTTAATCCAAACGGTCAGACGGTGTCATGGGATACACCAGTTTAGCGGCATATGGGTGTAGCAAGTTAGGAAGGAATGAAGTTTTGTATAGAATATGCACTTGTCTAAAGCTACAGAATATAACCAGGAATTCTGTGAGCAAATTAGCCCATTAGCGATAGGCATTCTACAAAGATGGCTATAGCTGGATTTGTTTCACCAAGTAGCAGATCTATTGTTTCTTCTTACCTTTCATTTTAGGGCAGCCAGGTGCCTTCCCTGGAGCAGCACATCCCCCCAACCCTTCTTACCCAGGTGGCTTCAATCCTGCATACCCACCTCCTGTGAACCCTGCGTTCCCTCCAGGCTCTATGCCTGTTGGCCCCTGTCCTGTTCCCCCAGTAGGGATCCCAGGGCAACCTGCCTATCCCTCAGGCCATCCCATTCAGCCCCCGTATCCTGGTCATCAGCCTATCCTGCCTGGTGGTCCTTTGCCCCCACCTGTCCCTGGGATGCCAGGAGGAATAGGAATCAACCCTTTGGTGCCCGGGGCTGCTGTGGGCACCCACGTGATGGACAAGAAAGCTGCTAAAAAGATGAAGAAGAAGATGAAGAAGGCACACAAGATGCATAAACCACACAAACACCATGGAAAGGTCAGTAGAGGAGTGGGATGGCAAACCTAGGCTGTACAGGTAGTTCTCGACTTATGACCACAATTGAGTCCAGATTTTCTGTTGCTAAGCGAGCTTTGTTAAGTGAATCACTGCAATTAGTAACACATTCGTTAAGTGAATCTGGTTTCCCCATTGATTTTGCTTGTCAGAAGGCTGCAAAATGGGACCCCATGACCCTCCACCCCGCACACTGCAACTGTCATAAATATGAGACAGCTGCCAAGCACTTGAACTTTGATTACGTGACCCTGGGGATGCTGCATAAGTTGTAAGGGTGAAAAACAATCCTAAGTCCCGTTTTTTTTCAGTGCCGTTGTAACTTCAAGCGGTCAGTAAAAGAACGGTGGTTAAGTTGAGGACGATCTGTATCGGGAACTATCATTTATTTCCAACTGCTGCCAAAGAACGTTTTTATGTCACAAATCTGTATACCTTGCATTTTTGAAAACCTCAAAGGCTACTTGATTGGGATCCATATTTGGAACCTAGGATTCATTCCGTGGCTCCTTGGTGGTGGAGGTGGAAGAACTTGCTGTGTTTTGGGGGATGGGGAGAGGAGAAGCCCTGCTCAATGAGGTTTGATTCTCAATTTACACTGCAGCTATGCATGAAGGAAAGTTTCAGAAACAGTCAATGGACCAATTAGCACCACAGTGACAATCTGAAACAGAGGCTGCTTTTGTTGGTCTGGCTGTGTTCCAAACAACGGATCAACACCATCGGTGTTGACCGAAGAGGAGAGCTCCATGCGCAGTTATCAGCATTTGGATTGGGAGGGGCGGCTATTCACGTCTTACTGATTGGTGTCTCTTGTTCCATGTTCCACCAGAGACCCCACTTGGGGCAGTCTTGAAAAGCCCACATTTATTTTACTCAGTATCGACCGCCCATTCCCCCACCGCCCCAGCACATTTCTACAATCAAAGGACTACAGTTTTGCTTGTTTGAAAATTAAAATAAATGTAATAGATTTATGTTCGCTCATCAGATCCATAGAGCCCCATGGAATGCAAATAAGTTTTCTAAATGTTTTAAAACTGTATTTTCTGTACTATATGTTTTAAAACTGTACTTTCCAGGTTGGTGTTCCCTATAAAACCAGAAAAGGAATAAAACTTCAAGAATGATAAGCAATTATGTTATTTATTAATAATTAGCAGAGAGGACAGCTAGAAAGGTCCTGGCTAAAAACAAAGAATGATCTGTCACACCTAGGTAGGAACTCAGGTTTGAGTCTACACCTTGGATATAAAGGTAAAGGTTCCCCTTGCACATATGTGCTAGTCATTTCTGGCTCTAGGAGGCGGTGCTCATCTCCGTTACAAAGCCAAAGAGCCAGCGCTGTCCGAAGACATCTCCGTGGTCAGGTGGCCGGCATGACTAAATGCCGAAGCCACACGGAACGCTGTTACCTTCCCACCAAAGTGGTCCCTATTTTTCTACTTGCATTTTTACATGCTTTCGAACTGCTAGGTTGGCAGAAACTGGACAAGTAATGGGAGCTCACTCCGTTATGCGGTGCTAGGGAATTCGAACCGCCGAACTGCCAACCTTTCTGATTGACAAGCTCAGCGTCTCAGCCCCTGAGCCACTGTATCACTGCGTCTTGGATATAAGGACGATGAAACATCAGTAATTTTTCGGTTCATATGGTATATATAAATTGTTATCTGACAGCCCTGTTTAAAGTCACCCAGATTTTTTAAAAGAGAATAATGGGTTTGGACATTATTTCTTGGGCCTCTGTGTGAAATGTTCAAGGCAGAGGATCAAATTGCTTAGATTTGCTTGGAGTTTGCTGCCACCAGCTAGGCATCTCCTAGTGAGATTATTGAAACCTTGTCTAATTAAAGTTATCCGGGAGGAGTTTGTTAATCTTAAGGAAATTGGTAAAAGTTTTTTGTGATGTTAGTCCTGCCATCAGGGGTTTTAACCATCCCTTTGCTGTGTGGAGAATATTACCAGAGAGGTACCAAAAGGCTGGGTCAGGACAGTAGTCAATGCATCCTTGAAAGGAGGAGTGCTTCTGTCTGCTTTGAAAGAGCTGGTGGTGCCCTCTCCCTAAGAAGCCATTGCTTGACCCAGCATATTAGGTAACTATCATCCAGTCTTCAACTTTTTTTGTAGGGAGAAGGAGGCACTGTTTACATAGAGTTGTCTTTCTAAGGGGAAGATACTAGTCAGTGGTAGAGAAGAGTGGAGATGCCACATCCTAGGGCCCTCCACTGTGCAACAGGGTTCAAAACATTCTTCCTATTTGGTATCTGTTTAAAGTGTGCTCTCTCGCTACTACTGGCCTATAGATGTCTAGTAGAGTTGGAAAAAAATGAAGATAAAAGATATGAAATACATGTAGGACTGGCAGAAGATATTTGTTGGGATAAAAAAAAGCAAGAGAATAGACACAATCCAGAGTACCTGAAATGGACTTCACCATCACCAAACTATTCCATAACAATTACCTTGCTTCTTATACCATTGTGAAAACACTGCTTTATTCTTTTGCTATTCTAATAAGCTGTCCAGAAAACATATTGTTGGATGGCCCATATAGATGACTGAATTCAGTTCCACAAGTATGATTGAGACCTCGCAAAATAGCGTTCTACTTTATTTAGCATTAATGTGACTTGCAGAACTGACAAGGAATTAATGGGATTTTAAAATTTACTTTAGATTTTTAAATTTTTATTTGTATAAATAACTCAGTCTGGCAAACATGCCTTATACTTCTCCGTCCTCTTTTCCCCACAAGAAGAACCTGTGAGTTGGGCTGAAGAGAGTGACTAGTCCAAAGTCACCCAAACAGCTTTTATGCCTAAAGCAGAACTAGAACTCAAGCCTCCTGGTTTCTAGCCTGATGCCTTATTAACCACTAAATGAAACTTTTTAGATTTTTTTTTCTTTTGCAATCTTTGCTTGTAAAAAGAATTTGCCCTACTTCTAATATACAAAGAGTGAGCTGTCCGTGTTCAAGTGCTCAGCCTTACCCACCCACCCTGAGATATCTAGAATGTGGTAGCGGTAGTGGTGGTACTCAGAAAGGAGATGGGTTCAATAATAAAGAAAATAATGGCTTGAGCAGAATAGGATAGAGTAACCTTAGAATTGAAAAATAAGGGGGACTCAGTTTACTATGAAACGTGGAATAAGTTTTATCAGTGGTTACAAAAAAGAAGGGAAGGTTGGAACAAAAATAACCAGAATGAATAGAACCAAAAAGCAAACACTGTATTAATAATATGAAAGTTAATGGTTTAGCAATATCTTTGTTTTTGTTTTAAATTTATTGGTCTTTAAAACAAACATAAACAAACAAAACATAAAAACATCAAATCATCTTCGATATATGTACATACAGTGTGCCGGTTGGTTTACAAATTGCTTTGTGCTTCCATTTCGTAGTCTTCAATTACAATTACATTGTATATAATCTTGTATTTTCAATCAAATATTAAATACATTAATATCATTAATTTGACTATACTTTTATTCATTCATGCTTTACGAAATAATCATATTTTACTTAATTTGTTTTATGACAGTTCATATTATCATCCCAAATCTATCCTAGAATCATTTTGTAGATATAAGAAAAAAGTACATCTTTATATATTTAGTGTTTTCTAAAAGTCTACATATTTCATTACTATATTTTATTGTCTAACCATTGATAGAATAGATCCCAAATTTTATAAAATTGTTCATCATCTTGTTCTTTAATTTCAAATGTCAATCTACTCATTTCAGCACATTCCAATATTTTCTTAATGATTTCCTCCTGTGATAGTATTTTCTCATTTTTCCAGTTTTTAGCAAATACAATCCTAGCCGCTGTTAATACATTTACAATCAGGTATTTCAAGTCTTTACTATATATTTCAGGTAAAATTCCCAATAAAAATATCTCTGGTTTCAAATCTATATGCTTTTTTGTCATTTTTTCCAACCACGTGTGGATTTTAGTCCAGTATTTTTTAGCATCTGCACAAGTCCACCACATATGGTAATATGAGCCAGGTATCTGATGACATTTCCAACATTTTTTGGATTTATTCTTGAACATTCTTGCTATTCTTGTCGGGAGAAAGTGCCACCTGTAAAGCATTTTATACAAATTTTTTTTATATGCTGTTGACATTGTCATTTTATAATTTTGAGACTACTTTTTTTGCCATTTCTCTAGATCAATCCCATATCCAAAATTCTTCCCCCAAGCAATCATAGTTTAAACTGTTTAATTTTTTGTTCTTCTAGTTTAATTTCTAATAAACATCCATACAGTTTTTAAATCACCTTTTCACCAGTACCTGTCAAAATCTTATCTAAGTGAGTCAATTTATCATAGAAACCTTCTGTTTTAGAATCTTTATCATACCTTGAATGTATTTGTGCATATGAAAACCAATTCATCTTTATACCTTGTTCCTCTAGTTTTTGTATAGATTTAAGTTCACCCTTTTCATTCAATATTTTGCCATATCTAACTGTTTGTTCCTTTTTATATATTATAGGATAAGAAAATGCTTCAATAGTCAATAACCAGACTGGAATTTTCAAATAACATTGTCTTTTAATATTCTCCCAATTTAACCACAGAGACTCCCATATATAATGTCTTCTAAAGTACCCCTATGTTCTAGTTCCTTTATACCATAAAAAAGCATGCCACCCCAGCAATATCTTTGTATGTATAGTAAATGTAACACCAAAACGGCAGCACTGTTGTATATTTGCAGTTGTAAACTATTAAAAATATATACAAAAAAGAAGAGCAAAACAGCAAACGTGCACAAATGAAAAATTTAATTGTTCTGTGTCATAATTATCCACATTTAAATAATTGAAAACTTTCTCTTTTTTTCAGCATTCCTCCTCCTCTTCATCCTCTTCCAGCAGCAGTGACTGAGTGGTGTGTCTCCCTACTTTCCAGCTGCATCCATTTCCGCCATGGCTGATCCTTGCACTGTTCTTCCTGCATTCATAGAAAATTAACTAGATTGGTTACTACCCCGGTAGATAAAAATGACATCTGCTTGCTTTTTGTCTGCCCTCCAAGATGGCCAGGCATCAAGCTTATCCATAGGGCTGGTGCTGTTGATTAACCAGCCTGCTGTGATTGACTGTTTGGTGGGAGGGCGACACCATTATTGGGCTCCAAAGCAGTACATCTGCAGCTGTTGGCGATTGTGATTACATTTCTGCAGCCAATCAAATACTGTCCTGGCGCTCCAAATGTTTTATTGGGAACCAATCAAACGATTATTTTGAGGTTGGTTGGGAGGTCCAAAACTACCTAAGTGCTTTTAAAAATTATCAATCATTCACGTATCACATATCAAGTAATTCTTTGAATGTTCATGTAGTCGTGCCTGAGAAAAGGACAAAACGGGAGATTGCTCAATATTATAACTGCATTTGGAAAGTGTTGCTTATTTAATATAAACTAGAATAATCTACTTTTAAAAGATCACAAAATATGCTGAATCAGGGATAATGGCATAACTGTATGCATGTAGAAATTTATTGTGAGATTCCCTTCTCTCTGTCTCTCAGAAATAAACATACATTCATGTATTTATGGTATATTTTAGAAAATTTCTCCAGCCTACAAACATTTTGGTGGCTCTTGGTTTGCTTCGTTGAAATACTTGGTTCATGGCAGCAGTCTTAGTTTGCTTGAAGTTTGTATTTAATTTGTGATAGTAACTTAGTAAATTGCTCCAATGTACTGAAAGATCATACTACATATATATTGCATAATGTGTTCCAAATTTCTGCATCTGGAAGAAGCATTTTCTCATTCGTCAGTTCAACATTGCTGATGCCCCATTTAAACTGACTGCTTATATAATACTGAGATGTGTTTCTAAAATGAAAGGAGAAGATTGCAGTTAGCCAGTTTTTAAAGAGAAACAACCACAATCACATCATTATCTAGCATGGCACAATTTTGAGATCTGCATTGGACTTCCAATAACCTTGGGTGGGGATTCAAAAGCCCCTCCAGAATTACCCACCAAAGTACTGCATTTAATGGGACAAAAAATACGTAAAATATATTGGAAGTAACTGTAGTAATTATGTTAATAATCAGGTTTAAGTAAAGGGATTAGTATGTAAATTTAAAGTTTTTATTGTGTACTCATTTGCATCTTGTAATGCATGTCAGAAAGACTAAACAAAAATTTTACAACTATCATTCCTGAAAATTGTGTATCCCTAAGTTGCCCAATGCCTACGAGGTTGAACCTTAAAATGTATCATGTCTTGTTAGGAATGTTCTATTTTACAGATTCTTTTTCAGTATATATATATATATATGTATGTATGCATGTATGTTTGCTGCTCGGCAAGAATGTGGATTTTGATCATGTGATCACAGAGACACTGAAAAGGGTCGGTTCTAAGTCACTTTTTCAGTGCTATTGTAACTTTGAAAAAAATGGTCATAAGTTGAGGACTACGTATATTTATTGTTCAGCCGTTAGTGACTAGGAGGAAAGCAATAGTATCAGAAAGATTAGATGGGTGTCAAACTTGTGGCATGTCACATGATGTATCACAACTTTTTTCCCCTTCCCTAAACCGTGGTGAGCGTGGCCAGCACATGACGCACCCAGCCTGCAGGTTACAAGTTCGACACCCCTGGATTAGAGCTATAATTTTCAGTTCCTTTTGGAATATGTGAGGCTTTTAAAAAATAAAATATATTTAATCTACCAAAGGGCTTAACACACCATTTCACTGCTTTTATTTTTCACACATACTACCAGATCACACTATTGTGGTTTGGAGTTTGTGCTTCTGAAATTTTACATCAGTTTTGGTAAAACTTTGGGTCTCAAAAAGAGATTGGGCCCTGTATGGCTCAAGGGTTGAACACTGCCTACTCTTTAACAAAAGGAACTCAAGACATTGGGGGGGGGGAGGGGGAAGGAGGGAGAAGTTATATCTTTTTTAAAAATTCCAGAATCTGTCTTCTTTTTGGTAGAAGGCAATGGTTTATCTATTTGACAGCATCTTGTTTTGCAAAAAGGCAAAAAATATAAAGGACTCTTTTGATGGAGGCCTGGAAATTGTTGTGGTCCACTGGCAGCTTGCAGAGATGGCAGCAGGATTGGACAGTGGGGAAGAACATGGGCCAGTCCAGAAGTCTGGGAAAGGCTCGGACAAGGGTCCTGCATCTGATACAGAGATGGGGCCAGGGCCATCTGGGAGTTGTGTGCTGACTCCGGAGCCTCCAGAATCTGACAGGCAAGAACAGTTAAGACAAAAAGGGTGATTCGGGAGTAAGGCTTGGAAATGATTGCCCCTCCCATAAGATATAAAGGAAGTGCAAAGGGCCAGGGACCTTTGCAGGAAGCAACGTCATTCACTCTGTTCGGATTAAACCTTGAAGCTCTGTGTGGACTTTGTACTTTGTTTGGCTTTTTACAGTTAATTTGGCGCTTTAGTTGCTGGCAGCAATTCAAAGGAGATAAAGGTGGGTGCTTATCTCAAGAGACTGTTTGGGACTCATTACGGACTGGGAATGAACATAATTCCCAGAGTTGAAATAAAAAGAGTTGTTTGGACTAAGTGTGTGCTTAATTATGGTCTCAGGAAGCCTTGGTCAGAACAGAAATAAAGTTACTGCTCATTTCTAATTAAATAATTACATTTTATTGGAATGGTTCCTTTTTTTCCCCAAAGTCATCTGGCCTTCATAAACAAACCACACAACTATTTCACATTAAGCAAAGTAAAATTGTTCTTAAACTGAAATTGTTCCTAAGCAAGTACATACAGAATTTTTAATCCTCCCAAGATGTTTATAAAAGAAAAAGGGGAGCAGAAAGAAGATAATACTGGTATACAAGCCAAATTCCTAGGTCTTATTATAGAGGGGGGAAACATCTTATTGTGAATGCAATCTTCTTGTTTAGGCCGAAGAGATTTTTAAATCAATACTCCACTGGCAGGAAAAAAATATTTTTGAAATACAATTATTTTAGTCCCTGTTTTCGTCCTCCAAACAATTTTTCTTTTTAAAGAGGAAATGTGGAGGTGGCAGGAAGAGCCTAGAAGCTGGGATGTGTGCAAATATGCACAAAATAGTTAAGGCAGCCATAAAAGTTATCTGAAATACCCATACTATGCTAATAGTATTGGAAATACAATTAAACTGGCAGGGCTAAAAAAAACCCCAAAAGATAGACCCTATTTTGGAGGGGTTTGTTAGATTTCTAGCAAGAAATTTCTGGGATAATTTTGGAAATAGCATTTTTTCTAATGCCTTGTTACTTGTTGGCAACATGAATTTCCATCTGTAACAAGGATGCTTGGACGATGTTTAAGCAGATTCCAAAACACTCAATACTTGTGCTAAGGGCAAGTAGCCTAGCACCAATCTTCAATCACAGAGTTGGAATGCTCCCATATGCTAACACCACCTTTGTGATCACAACTTCTGTGTTTTGCTGGAAGTGATCTGTCTTCAGATCATTCCCAGTGAGAGTCCTAAATTCAGAAGAAAACAACTGTCCTCTTGGCCATCAAACTGAGTCACTGCTTGCCTAGTGTACAAGAATGAGCTGGTTGATTGAGCAGTCAATTCTACCATGCTTTCCACTTGTGCTAGAGAAAGTCATGCCTCTCTCACTGACCCCCATCCCAGCTTAGCTCATAAACCAAGCTTGTGGCACTGCTTTCCCAAGAAACCCCAGGCCTCCATCGACCATCACTCTGTCCCTTTCTTGACTGGCAGACCTTTCAGTGCTCTTCCTTCTGATTATCCTTCTAGCCGCTGTTCTAGTTTTTCTAATCACGCCTTCGATAACTGTGTTTTTTTTTAATGTCCGGTAGAAGATATCCTGAGGGATAATGCAAGGAGAAAGAGTGGATGGGAAGAAACAGTAAAGACAAATCTATACTTTTTTTTAAAAAAAAAAGGCTGTATTTAATATGTCTCCTAGCAAAAATATCACAGCAGTGTCTGCACTAGTGATAATGCAAATACAACATCACTTAATTGGAACAATTAATTTGTAGAAGTAATAAGCGGGGGGGTTAAAGTGCAAAGGGGGAGCTGAATGAAAAGCAAGAGGCCTCTATTCATAGAGTGAAGGTGAAGATAGAGCTCACTAATTCTTATTTTGATTTTTTTTTTCTCAAAAGGAAAATGAGCCGGTTATTATGCGCTTGGGGAATGAGGAAACTGCAGATTAGAACTGTCAAGGAGAGTCTAACAGCGAACATAACTAATTTAAATGATTTCTCCGATTGTAAGAATATTGTAATTTTTGAGAACTGGTGAATCTCAGAAGACTAGGGAGCAAATATCCTCTATTTACCATAAAATTCACATGCTTAACTTACAGAATAGATGGCTAAAGAGAGATATGACAGTAATCTTCAAAATTATCAGGTGAATTATTTACTGTCTTCTCCTAGAGATGGGCCCAAATAAATGTATTAAAAGGAAGTTTTAATGGAAGTAATTAAGTTCAGGCTAAACACCTGGAAGAAATTGTGACTCTACAAGCTGTCAGTCAGCTAAACACATTCTTCCTTCACTAGATTTTCAAACAAGTTGGTTGGTCAACACCTGTCTGACAAATGCCAGTGGATTCTGCAATGAGCACTCTATGGTTTTGTGACAACCTTCTGTCATCCACAGAGGGAAGGACTTTAGCTTCATACCTGTCCATCTTGGAGCTAGCAAAGATCAGCTCAAAAAGCTTCGCTGACATCTTCTGAAGCTGGACTTAAAAGCAGAGTTGAAATTATTGTGAAGAATCTGAACAACTAAAGCAACCCTAATTTGAGTTCATAATTAAAGCTACCAATACAGACTCTAATAAGGGTCCATCAAGGATTTAGATTTAAGGGAGCAGGGCAAATTCAGCAAGGAACTTAAAAACAAAGTACCCGAAGGCCAGACAAGGAATAATGGATGGAAACTGAACAAGGAGAGATTTAACCTGGAAATGAGAAACTTTCTGACAGTGAAAACAATCAACCAATGGAACAGCTTGCCCTCAGAAGTTGTGGGAGTACCATCACTTGAAACTTTCAAGAAGAGATTGGACTGCCATTTGTCAGAAATGGTGTAGGGTCTCCTGCTTGGGCAGGGGGTTGGACTAGATGACCTACAAGGTCCCTTCCAACTCTGATTATCTGTTATCTGTTAAGGCCCTTAACACTGGATGATTTTCATACGATTTAACTTTATGTAAGAGTATTGCTGGGAACCATACAGCATCCAGGGGATTATTTATGGTTTAAGAATCTTAGTGACAGCTAGCCTAGAATGTCCTCTTTATGAATAGTAGAAACCCAGCATAGCCTTTACACTCTTGCCAGCCTTTTCAGTGACTGACCTATCTTTTTCCCTTCATGATCTAAAGGAACGGAAAGTCATTCCAAGATATTTAAAGGATCTGACTTGTTCTATTAAGTTTCCATGTTTTTGCCAAGTTTGTTTGAAGCTCTGGACCTTCTCTGAAGAACTGTGACCTTGGTTTTGGATTAGCTTTGCCTCATCACAGTAGGTTGCTATGGTCCTCCAAGGCCATGCAAATGGTCAAAGGGATAGCTGCACCATTGGCATAAAGAAACATGGCTCTATGTCCACTACCCAGCCTGGCAGGGTGAAACATACATTGTTCAGGTTGGAACTGTGCCATTCAAATAATTGCTAATGGAAGGGAAGCCAAGTGCAATCTGACTCCTGGAGATTTGGAAGAAAGATGGCAGTACCCACAAAATATATAGAATAAGAGGCAAGGAGACATTTTCATGCAACTTCATATAATTAGTAGTTTTAGCAGCAGCCTCCACTCTATGGCATTTGAACACCTGTATTTGTTACTTTCCCAGTTTGAGCTAGCACATTTCTTTAGATGGACCTTTTTGCCAAGGTTACTACCTTGGCAAAACAATGTTTCTGAAAGAGACTTGCCCAAATGTTATTGGTTTTCATGGGTTATGCTGAACTCAAGAAATAAGGCTCATTATTGAAAACAAGGTACAGAAAGCTACAAGGAAGCAGAAGGATAGAGAAAATTAACTGTATTAAGTTTGAAACAGTATATTTTCACAGGTGTATCACTTTGGGGTCTAATTTAATTCTGCTGCAGAT